ATTTCTTAAAGGAGCATTCAGAGCGCGGCTTGATAGGTGGATATTATAGTAGCTGGGGGTTACCCTTGGCGGTTCGACGTCGGCGGGGCGAGGAGGGAGACGCGGCCACGAAAACGAAGAGACAGGGGCGGAGGGGTTGCTCGGGTGGCGGATCGTCGAGGGTGGAGAGAGAGAAAGAGCGAAAGAGAGAGACGGAGAGAGAGAGAGAAGGAGAGAGACGGGGAAATGCATCCATCCATATCCATCCCGGGGTGGCTACTGGGGCTTTGATTACTTGTTTTAATCTTCCGACTGCCGACTGGGCGAGCATCTGTCACTCAAAATCCGTAATTGCGCGCGGTACCGTCGCTCCGGCGACCCTCCTCCTCTCGCGGTCCTGCCCGGCCGCCCATGTCGGCACCAAGGGGCCGAGGGGCAGAGTTCTCTTTGCTTTGAGCATCGCCATTACTTTCTTATTGCTCGTTTAGCGCTTTCACACTGGTTTACCGGTTACAGGGCTGCCGGCGAGCGAGCGAGCGAGCAAGCAGTGCTCGTAGGCGACCGGCTAATCGGATTCCCGGCGCTCCTGAAATTCACCGTCGGGCCGAACCTACTACAGCCGTTTCCACGGTTCGATCGTGGTTTCGATGTGGCTACCGGAGGCACCGCGTTAATCCCCGGCATCGTTGCGCCGGATTCGGAAAAGACATTAGAGGCACACCCGCCGGCAGCGGTACACGAACGGCGCCGGATCAATGGCTGATGGCTGATGGCTACGATGATGGCTATTTGTGTCGGCGTTATGCGCGCAGATTGATCTTTGAGTTCTCGAAATCGAGAACCCGGGAAATCGTATCGCGTGAAATTGAAGCGTCAGCTGTAACCGCTCGCGGACTTGCCCCGCTGATTTCACCTTCGCCAGGTTCGGATGGGAGAGAAGAAGCGACGTCAGTTTCTAAAGCGATTTAACGATCAATGTTGTTCGTTACCCACGGATCAAAGTAAACAACTATCTTGCTATTATCGATTCATCAAACGAATCGCTTCCAGAGAATTCTGAATTCCGAACTGTCGATAGTAAAATGTTACAGCCGACTAGCGGAAGTTAAGGGTGTGTTAACATCGATATCGACATTAATAACCTCGTCAGCTTACTCTAATTAAATTTGACCACTGCCGTTCGACGATTGTTCGGCCGCTTTTTAATATGAGATTATAAGTCGTTGAAAAGCCTATTAACAGCTGTCCGGTAGATAAAGCGTCAAATGAACGCTGAACCCCCGCGTCGGTGCAGCGGGTCTGGCTCTCCGCCGAGGCTCACCCCCGTCCGGCCTATCCACTTACCGCACGAATGGACGAGGTGGTCATCAGATCGATGAAAAGAGATTCGCGACACGCCACCGGCCGGCCGACGCGCTGCACCGACGTTGAACCGTGAAACCAGCCAGCCGGCCGCCCCCTAAAACACGCGGCACGGTGTTTGTGCGCCTACAACGAAGCCAATCGGGGCCCCCCTTCGTAGGATGACGGTGGTTCGGGGGGTTGAACCGACCGGCACGGCACGGCCGGTTCGGCGAACCTCGTAGCGTGATCTAATTGTGCCCACTCAAACCGGATCAAAACAATGCGGCGCACCGAAGAGCTCGCGGGCGTGTTGCATTTAGCTAAATGTGTCTTTTGTGACGGCCATTGCCCGTCCACGTTCACCGAGCCATTGTCGACGCTGGTTAGCGGGTCCTCGTCAAAGCCCACTTAATGGCACCTTTAATTACAAGTGTCCCCGGCACAATGACGGGACCCCCTCGCCTCCTCCGGCCGGCTGTCTCCTGCGGAATCCGACGGGACTCTATGGAAATGCATAGGGGTCGCGGCGCGCGGGCCGACGGGAACCCGGAGGGAAGACGACGAGGAGTAATCTACTCCTTCGATTAACCCATTGAGCGAGGCAACAATTTGCTGGCCATTCGCCGGGGAACGTCGCTTCGGACTGTGCACGCGCGGAGAATGTTAATGATTGCTTTATAATAATTGTAGTAGGCCGAAGGTATCTTTGTGTGTTCTATCATTTTATCATCGTTTCTCTGCTTCACGGAGTCACGAGTAGCATCAAAGGGTCCAAGCTATCAACGGATTATGATAAGGAACCGGCTGCGGACTTCGAAGGGTTGAAAAGAGGAGACTCGAGAGGACGCGGAACTCGAATTTCAATCGCGCGATGAATCAGTGCAGCCCCCCCAGCCCCTGTCCACGGAAAGTCGTGGAGCATTCAAGCGTCGCAACTGCGGAGGCCGACCGTCCCTCGCGTTAAATCCGCTATCTTTGTCAAAACGCGGCGTAATCGTTCCTCTTCGGTCGGATTTAATCTTCCCGATTCCGGTCCCCCTTCGAGAGCATCGCAGAGGTGGAACGGGGGGGACGCAATCTCCGTGAGCAAGAAAAGAAGAAGC